TGGCTCCAAGTTCCACTGGTTTACAAAGCTGCCTTATCTTCAAGTTCTTAGGAGGTGCTTTATTATCAAACAAAGAGGACAGCCCCCTTCTTTTGATGCAAATGCTGTTATCAGGAAGGAGACCAAGGTAGCTGTACAGGAGAGAGACCCTGAAAACACACACAACTGCTTTAGGGGCTCGCTCTAGCCAGTTTGCCTGGGATCTTTTCAGTTGCCCTGGGTCTCTGACTCTGCTTTTGTTACAGTCAAGTGCTGTAACAGTTTTGTACTTCTTCCCTCCATCTGCAGCATATCTGGTGACCATTAGGGAGCATTTTCTGCATTTATCTTTTGTAACAGAGTGCCAGGCACTACAGAAAATCTGAGGTAAACTAAATTATTTCTATTTTTTTGAGGCTTCTGGAGTATTAAAATAGGTAATACCAAAAGAGCATCATAGAAACTGATGAATTTTAAGTTGTTGGATGATATGCTTCTTTTAAAAACTCTTGCCAGTATGTCTATGAAAATTGAGGTATAACCTTATTTGGAGATATCATCAAAAATCTAAATTTGAGGCCTGTTTTAAATACGAGGCTTATGCCAAGTGGTCCTCTTGGGTCCCCTTTCCCCACTCTTCCTGTGATAGGTCCTGAAAGTAAGTGAAATACATTCTCTTTGCCCTTGAGACACTCAAAATCAATTTGGAGAGTCAGTATTAAAAATATAATACAGAGGCTAATACAGGTAAGTATATAATAAAGTGCTAAGTTGGCAGCAGATACTATATGTATTTTTAAGAGCTCCAAGAAAGGAGGGATTACTGTGGCTAGTGGAGTCAGGAGTAGTTTTGTAGAAGAGATGGGGGCATTGATATAGGACAAAAGGATTTTAGGAACAATACCACCGACAAAAGATATTGACTTCCTTCTATCAATTTACATTCAAATAAAACTGGCTCTGCTTTATGAGTTTCCACTTGTTGGTCTAGTCTCCATTCTCAGCCTGGGTCAGAACTTTTCTGAATCCTATATAATTTAAGCCCTATGTTGCTAATCTTTTGAATTAAGTTAGTATGTGAACCACTAGCCACCAGGGTTGCAGGTTTGAGAGAAAACAATGAACTCTGCTCCCCCTTCCCTTTGAGGCCAGGAGGGAGCTAATAGCTTTCCTTGACGGGCATGCAGAACCAGGAGGGGAATGAGCAGCATGGATGCTGAGTTGATGCAGGCAAGCCCTCTGGAAGGGCTTCTAAAGCTGCCCTGTCTTTGAAGTGAGTGAGAATACCTCACGTGGAGCTATCCCGAGGATTGACAGGACCAGACCCACAAAATTTTCTAGCTGTAGTGGGGCCGTGAGCATCCCCTACAGCTTCTCCTTTGGACAGCAGAAGGCTTGAGAGCACACCCCATGGAGCCACCAAGTCTGCAAGAGCAGTGGGGAGCAGTTACCACCAATTGAATTCTGCTCCCTGCTGCGGTGCTGAGTGGAGGGGGCTTCTCATCAGACGTAACTTTCTTTCCTTCTAAGAAGATATATATATATATATATATGTAGTTTTTCCTCTTAAAACCAAAGTTGGAATATTTACTTGAAAATGAATTCCTAGACTCTGGTTTTAGTTAAAAATTTCCATAGGGAACAATAGAACTATAGTACATTTCTAATTTAAAACTTTGCATTGTTGATGAAGTTTTGAAAATAACAGAAGTAGGCAACCCAAACATCTGTTACTTTAATTTTTTTTTTTCCTCCCTCAACTTGTAGCAAACTTGTGGCACTAGTCTTGGAATGTGGGCACTGTCTCTGATCAGTATTTTAGGGAGTTTTGGAATGCACAAGAAAATATAGATAAGATTCTTTGCTTAAAATTTATAATGCGTTGCAGATTGCACTGTGGGTTTCTGAAGCAACGAAAAGTCATGGTGGGTTTTAAAGCAGTTTTAGAGGAATAGCTCAGATCTTTGATGCAAGGCATTTAAATTAATGCTAGTCACAACATAAAGCTCAAGTTCAAAATTTATGTCTCCCTCTGATTACCACACATCAAACTACTTGAAATGGAGATGAAATTGCATTTCTCTGGGGGAAACATGGTGCTATTTTGATGATCAAATGTATTGGGAACAGAGGTTCTTGTTAGCCATGTTGTGTGTGGTGTGGGGAAGTTTCAGGCAACTTGGTGCTGGACCAGTGCGGGGAGGTTGAGCAGGGTGGCCAATACAATTAGACCCTCTGGTGAGGAAGAGGGGGCGCCCAACCCTTAGTTCTCATTGAGCTGGGTTACAGAATGCACTAGCTGCCTGTGCCATGGCTTCTGGGTCACTGGGAACGGGTGGCTCACTCTGTGTAGGTCAAGGAAATCTGCAGCGTCACAGCTTATCTTTCTAGAGGAAGCATTGGTCAAGGATTTACATTCTGGAACAAATCCTTGTATTTCACCGTTATTATTTTTGTTATTATTTTCTGGCAAATGAATGTGTCATTGAGATGATCATTACGTAACCAAAGTACTATTGCAATATAACTTGCCAAGAAGTTATCATTCTGCTCAAAATATTAAAGGTCTTTTGCTTCCCCTTTTAAAATGTCCTTCTGACCCCACCCCCCTGCACTGGGCAGGCTGCAGCCTGGCAGGTATGGGGCTGGGAGGCCACACCGAGATGGTAGTGTTCTTTGATCATCTGCCATGAGGTACTGGGCAGATCTAGTTGGGAATGAAAGATGACCAGGTAAGCTGGCTTGGTCTGGCACTATTTCTAAAGTAGAAGCTATAGAGGTATTGGTGTTCGCAGTTAGATGGCTCCTGCCAAGATACTTTTTGTGCTGACTAGGTTCACCTCTTTTCAGGGCTCTGTCTCTTGGGCAGACCTTTAGGTCTTAAGCAGACAAATCTGCTTGGCTCCTTCAGCTTCACAATGAGCCCTGTTTTTTTCACAGTGAGACATTTTCTCTTGTTGAAGTGAGTGTTGATCTTCCTGGGAAGAGCAATGGAGGGAATGTGGGTTCTAATAGTTTCTGGACACTCTTTCCACTTCAAAAAAAATGAACTTTTTTTTCTGAATTCCTAGGGCCTGGAGTTTTTTCCTATGTACTTCTCTAATGAAATAATAGGCTTCCAATAGGTGTGTGTTATATTTCTAAGCCAGAATTAAAAACTGGATATCTATTAGTTTGGAAATCTTGGGTCTGGCTATTATAATTACTAATCTATTTTTATCTCTGCATAAATTACTGTTTAATATGCTATCATGTTGAAGTTTTCTCAATGGTAATCTTATGATGGCTGCAGCCAGCTGTTAACTTCAACAAGCATGTTGGCCTGGAGACTACGTAATGGTGTATCGGTTATGATAAGAGCATCCTTTTCCCTAGTGTCACTAGGTAAGTTGCTACCTACCTGAGAAGCATCTTATATATAGATTATTAATTTAGTTCCTTATTTCTGGCTATGAACGGCAATTGAAATATTGGCTTGCCAGAGATTAAGGAGAAAAGTTAATGGCCAGCCTCTACTTTTTCTTACTTTAGAAGTGAAAACGGTGGTCATTACTATTATTAATTACAACCAAAACAACCACAAATTTTAAGCGGTCTTCCTGACAACTTAAGGAGTATTTTTAAATAATCAAGTTTACTTTAAAATGTTGAATTAAAAAGTTTACAGAAGAATTTCCAATTTTAATTATTGCTCTCAAACAGTTTATCTTTTCTGCCTTTTCCTCCATGTCCTCTCCTAAGAGCAGGTGCCTCTCCATCACTGCCCATCAATGACATTTCTAATGCTCCAGAAGGATACCCTTGAGGTCATCCTGTCCTCACCTCTAATATTCATTATGATCTCTAACATCACTATATACAACATTTGTGTGTATATAGGATAATTTCTGGTGCCTTCATGTGGTTGGGGGTTTCTTCACATGAATATTTGCTCTTTCTCCTTAGGCCTTCCTCTTGGCTTTGCTTTTGCAGATATATCCACACATATGATTATACTCATGTAAAATATACATGCCTATGTTTATACAATGTGTACAAATTAATGTAAACAACTCTCAGTAAAATTGTGTTGAATCAGTTAATAAACATACACACACACGTGCTTGTGTGTAGGGGGTGGTTTGTTTGGTCTGTACTCTATAGATGCAGGCACTGAGAATAATTTTCTTTTGTCCCTGAAGATTTTATTGTATAGCTTCGGAGATTTTCCTTGCTGGATAATTTCTTTCAAAAAAAATTTGATGAAAATGTGCATAGCAATTTTGACTTACTTGTAGGTGGAAAGAAGAATAATTTTTACACTTTGAAGCAATTTTGGATTTTTTCACATGTGGATAATTCTCTGAGCTTTCAAAGCAAACATTTCAGAATTTCCTATTCTTCAGATTGAACTGGTTGAAAGTAATACTATAATATTTGTACCTTGCTTTTTATAATTATTTATGCATGTACACTTATATTTATGTAATCAATGTTACTATACATTTCTAATTGCTAATTAGTTGCTTACTTTTTCAGTGCATTTTTAAATGCTCTGAAATCCATCCATCTATATATCTATCCTAGGGACAAAGGTAATATTCTTTTCCTTTTTGAATCTCTAGAAAATTTATTTATTTGCTTTTAGCCCTGGAAAAAAAATTATTTTTTGTCTAAGTAGGCATTTATTTTGAGGTAAATATAAAACATAAAATTTTCCCCAAAGTCTATTTTAATATTACCTTTTAACTATGTGCCAGTAATGGGTACAGAGTAACTATCACCCTCACCCCATCCATTTTACCCCAGAATGGTTGACATTATGTGGAATTGGTCCTCTATGCAGGTGAAAGTCTGCCCATGAAGTTTACAATAGCTATGAAGCCCTATGGAGGGAATTAAAAATTCTCTCCCTTTGAAAGTGGAACATCCTCCACCAACTGGTAAAAATAAGCCTTTTTTTTTTTTTTTGTATTGGAAGAACTTCAGGGATTCTGAAAACTAGGAGGAAAACATACCACACAGTCTGAGAATACTGTGTTTAGGAAGGTTTGACAACAGAGGGAAAAAAGCCTGTTTTAGGACTCTCAGGCTGGGAGGTAGCTGTTTTAGTGGGGCTACTGAAGTCTGAAATGACCTCTTTTTATATCTTGAAGAACTAAATCTACTGCAAAAAGGTAAGATTTTCAAGTTGTAATAATAAAGACTAAATTTTAACATATGAGGTCTTTCGGTATACTAACTCAACTCTAATTCAATATTATTCATAAACTGGATATTATTTTAGAGTACACTGAATTAAAAAATGTAGTACACAGGCAAAATATTGTTATGACATGAATCTCATGTATGGTATTTCCCTTCCTTCTCTGTGTAGGATTTACAACTGCAAACTTCTCAAGCATCAGCGCCACATCCCTGCTACCTCTCTGCTTGTGCATGTGTCCCTACATTATCCAAAATAGGGGTGGGCTAACGATGATTGCAGGCTAACTCCAGCCCACCACTTGCTTCTGTAAATAAAGTCTTATTGTACACAAACATAGCCAGTTATTTAAGCACTGTCTGTGGCTGCTTTTGTGTTAAACATCAGGGTCAAGTAGATGAGACAGAGAGCATGTGGTTTGCAAAGTTAAAACTAGCCTTGCTCTTGTAGAAAAAGTTTGCCAACCCCTGACCTAAGATATTAATTTTCTTCAATTGATATGAATTTGCTTCACTGATGATATCATAGAAAACTCTTAAGTGATGTGTGTTCCTTCTCCTGTGACTTATCTCTTTCTTTTTGATAGGAAAACTAAAAGCAAAACAAGAACACTTAAAAAATGGGGCTGGGGGGAGCCCCCCAAAACAACAACAACTAAATATCCTTACAAAATTTAAGAAGTGCTGATAAGAATCATGAAATAAGCCCATTAAAATATAGTGATGTTATCGAAAAATGATATTTTTGCCGAACAACATAGTAAGAAAAGAATACTTAGAACACTTATATTCTCGTTCTAGCTTTGTCATTCTCCAACTCAGAGATCAGCAAACCTTTTGGGTAGAGGGCAAGGTAGTAAATATTTTAGACTTTGTGGGCTGTATCTATTTTATTTTATATAAGACAAATGGTGGGCCAGATTTGGTGAGCAGGCCCATAATTTAACTACCTCTGCTCTAACTCAGTGGTCTTGATAGACCACAGCTTATACAGGCTGCATTTTCAGAACACTGAAATCAACATGCTTTCTAGTTTTAATGATTTTCTATCTTGTTGTGTGAATCAAAATTAATGTTGATAAAATCCACTACATTTTCCATGGATTGTTTTCTTACCGTGTGGAAAACAGAGTCAGAACAATACAGGGGAGACAGCATTTCCTGCTGTATAAGTTTCTATTGCTGGGTAATAAATGACTTCCAAATGTAGAAGTGTAAAAACAACAAATATTTAATTTTACTCTAGTTTTGTGGGTCAGAAATTCAGGAAGAGGCTGGTTGGACATCTTCCCTTGGTGTTTCTCATTTGGTTGTAATTAGGTGTCAGCTAGGTCTGTGGCCATTTGAAGCCTGGCATAGGCTGGTGGCCAGCAGTTGATGCTGAGTGTCAAATGGGTGCTTAGCTGGGATGGTTGATTGGAGTGCCTATACATGGGCTCTTCATCAGGGAGGTCTTAGGGTAGGCAGACTCTTTAGATGGTGCCTGGCTTACCCCCGTGTGAACGTTCTTAGAGAATAAAGTGGCAGTTGCATAATCTATTCTGATCTAGCCCAGGAAGTCCATGCTTTATAAGTCAAGAAGTCACAAGTTTGCCCACATTCAAGGGGAGGAGAGATAGACCTTACCTTCCAATGGAAGGGCTGTGAAATCATTTGGGGCCATATTTTAAAATTACTACACCCAGCTTTGGTGATTTTACGTTTATAACTCAAACATGGATTTAATAGAATTTTAAAATTCAATTATTATATAATTGTACCAGTATTGTATAATTAGCCAAGGTTATTAAGGTCAAGGTGTCATAACTAAGATCATCTCAGATATACAATTAAACTGATAAAAAAACGAAAATAGGTTGATTTTCCAAGAAAGTAAAATAGTTGTAAGATTTCAAAAAGATCTGCTACCGAGTTTTTGTCTTAACGGGATCACATATTTATCCCTTCTGACAGAATAACATTCATTCAGGTATAAATCAGATCTGAGTTAGTGAAAAACTTGGTTATGGATTATATTAAGAAAAATGAATTTGTTATTTTCATGTAACTAAAATAGGCCATGAAAGGCATTACTAAGCAGAAGAAACCATCCATTTTTATATACTTGCTGAGAATTTACTATATGCCAGGCACTATTCTCCATGCAGAGGATATAGCAGTGAATAAAAGAGACAATAATCCTTCTTCTCACAGAGGCGAATCTGTTACGGAGAAACAGATATTAAACAAAAGCCACCTTCTAAATCACACCCTGAGAAGTATTGTGAAGAAGAATAAAGCAGGGTGAGGGGCATACAGAGTGTCTGAGAGACTAAGGATGGAATGTTATTTTAAATAACATAACCAGGGAAGGTGGCATTGAACTGAGAGTGGGCAGACAAGCCATGTGACATTCTGGGAGAAGTGCATTTCAGGTTGGTGCAGAGCTTATGTGAAATGCCCATGTGACTAGGGTGGAAGGACCAACATTTCCAATTGAGAGAGTGGTAAAAGATGAGGTTAGGGAAGATGTGATGGTAGTGGGGGTGTGGGTGGGGGTAGCTCATGTAGGTCTTGTTGGCCACAAGAGGGAGTCTGAATTTTATTGAGTAAAATAGGAAGTCATTAGAGTTTCTATTAGAGGAGTGAAATAATCTGACTTAAAAAAAAATTCACTCTGGCTTCTATTTAAATAATAGCCTATTTTTTTTTTTGGCGGAAGGGGGAAGGTGGAGTAGACAAGAATGGAGTCAGGGGAACTAGTTATGAGAGTTTTGTAGTATTCTAGGTACAAAATGTTTGCAGGTTGGAATAGAGTGCTAGCAGTAGCAGTAATTAGAAAAAAATAAAGAGATTGTACCCATTTTACATATGAGTAAACAGAGGTTTAGAAATTTTAATGTTTTCAAGTGGTGAACTGGTATTCAAATCTAGATATAATTTCACAGATCAACTTCAGCCATATGGATTTTCATATATTTAAAATTAATAAAGTCCAAATAAATGACATTTTACTGTACTTTTCGTGAATTGGGTTAAATTAAAAGTGGCTGGCCATGGTCCTGCTTTGTAGACATTTTCTATGAACATAGTTCTTCTTCATGATCTGCTTGCAGAAAACATTTAAAATCCAGTAAATTGAATAAAATTTAAATTACATCATCATTGTTGTCCGGGCGCGGTGACTCATGCCTGTAATCCCAGCACTTTGGGAGGCCGAGGAGAGTGGATCATGAGGCCAGGAGATCGAGATCATCCTGGCTAACATGTTGAAACCTCATCTCTACTAACAAAAAATATAAAAAATTAGCCGGGCTTGGTGGCTGGCGCCTGTAGTCCCAGCTACTCAGGAGACTGAGCCAGGAGAATGGCGTGAACCCAGGAGGTGGAGCTTGCAGTGAGCCAAGATCGCGCCACTGCACTCCAGCCTGGGTGACAGAGCGAGACACTGTCTCAAAAAAAAAAAAAAAAAAAAAATTATATCATCATTGTTTATACGATTTCTATGGAAAAAATGAAGGAATGACTGCAGATATAAAACCCATAAACTACATACAAACATTCAGCATAATCATGATGAATGAGGTTTAACAGTCAATCTAAGAACTGCCGTCGTCAGTTTGGGGGATTGATAAGTAATCAATAATACATCAGAAATATTTTTTTCCAGGTTCAATAACAATGGAAGAGAGTACTCACAGTCATTTTGGGAGGAATTTGGAAGTGAATCTACGAGGTCCATACTTTCCATTGAAAGGTGGACATCAGTAGACCTATTCATTATGAGACTTTAGTCATCCTGGAGCGTCTCCTGTGATTAGACCTTTCTTCCTTTGGGCAAAGTGTGGGAAGGAGACTCTTTTCTTCTATTCTTGCTACGGTGCTTACAAAATGTTTATTGGAGAAGAAATTGATTCCTATATCATCAGGTTCACAGACTCTTTATTGTATTCACCATGTTTACCTTCTTTGTGAGCTCTCTGAGTTATTGACATGGTGGTTTACTTGTGTCTCTAAAACCTCACTGTTTCTTGATTTATAGGTTACATCGTGCCTTTTCTCTTCCACATGATGGAGATCTTCAAAGTAAGCATCTTTCAAAGCAGTGACAAGCAAAATACAACTGGAAGATCAGTAACTCTCTGTTAAGCAGCTTTGCTTGCTGTCATTGTTGACTGCCAGGGAGTGGTGATCCATGTCAGTCACTAAAATGACACCTTGGCAAGACTGCTGTCTGCTCCTGGAGTTTTTGTGTATGGAAACAATTTTAAGGTAATGAGATTTTCATATATTTCTAGCACCTTTCACAGGGTCTGGAACATAGTAGGTACCAAGCAATTATTTATTAATGTTAATTATAAAATCATGTTTTGAAAGCCCTACTAACACATGGTAGGTAGTTTTGTTGCAGATGGGAGCGATGCAAGAATTTCTTGTCAATCCTAAAGTTTATTAATAGTAGAATAAATAACCCTCCAAAGAGGCAGAGTCATTTAGCGAGACCCAATGAATTGATATAAACTTATATTTTTAAGCCATCAAAGTAAGAAGAGATTAAGACTAACGTTTACTTATTAAGATAATTTCCTAATCATTCTTATAAGAACTTAATGAGTGACAAACTGACGCTGGATATAAATTTATGATTTCCCAAAATAACATTTGATTGGTTTGAGTGATGTCTTACATCAAGTAATCATAGTTAATTTTTGCTTCTGGAGAGATTTGACTTTACCAGTCTATCATGTCATCAGATGTATTTCAAGAATGATTTCTTTGTCTGTTGATACAGAGTTAAAGGATTCCTATGGATATTCTTGAATCTATAACTTGTGTTTTTATTGGGGCAGATGGGACAAATTCTGAATAGTGGCAAAAGATTACATCTTCATTTGAAATGTACTGCAAACATCAAAAGAATGATTTCACATTTAAAAATATTTTTGTCATAAATCAAGGGCAAAGGTAGGATTTTTCCTGTAAACTCAGAGTTGACAATAATGCACGAAGCAATAGGTCACTTATTTTAAGTTGAAATAAAAGTCAATAAATGCTGCACCTTTGAAAGATTATGTTTCTGTTACCAGTCACCACCCTAACAATCAAAGCTCCAACAACAACAACAACACAATCATGAATGTCACAATGGTAATTGAAAATGGGGGTAATCCTTACCAGCTAGAAACAACTTGGGTAACATATAGATATGGAAAGCTTAGGCTGGATGAAGAAAAGAATGCTCCCTCTATTCTGGCACTTGCTGCTAGAGATGACATGAAGAATCTGGCTGTCTCTTCACTCAGATTCCCATTTTTGCCCCTGGAGCAGGCACAGTACATGTCTTTCTCAGATCTCTGTCCTTCTCTGGAGCAGTGATGGGTGCTTATTTTAAGAGCCACTGTGGTTCCCCACTTTGCCTTTGAGATCTGTTGGTTATGCCAGCACACTGGTTTTCAAACTGGCTGCGCACTGGAAGCACCTAGGAGCTTTTGTAAACTCCCCATATCCCAGCTCCATCTTCAGAGATTCTGAGTTCCTTGGCCCTGGGTGTGACTCAGGTTTTGGCATTTTTGGAGAGTTCCCCAGATATTTTTTAGGTGCAGTTAGAATTGAGAACCACTGGCCCAATCAAGTTTAGAAGAAGGAAGAGAGCACAAACTTTGAGTTTTGCCTTAGTTCTCACCCTTGATTTTGTTTTCCCACAGGTTCCTTAGAGTCTCAGAAAAATCCAGTGAATTCAGTCTCAAGTGAATCCAGTGATGGTGATTCATGGTTCCTGATTCTTTTCTAAACTGCTTTCTCAATTCTCTTTGCCCATAATCTTTCCCAGGCAGGAAACTCAAAAGAGAGGTCAGAGAAGGACGAGAATCCTCATGCTATTTGGCATCTCATTGTAAGACGTGGTGGAATGTGTTCAGCAAGTCAATTTGGCAGAATTGAAGAGTAATAGATTGGCATATCAAAATGCATATACAAAAAATTAATCAAGGCAAACAACTTCATTCATAGTGTTACAGTAAACAAGTTTTAGTATAGGATTTTAAAAGTCTTAGATTCAAGTTATGGCTTCACTATTTCCAGGAGCATGACTAGTTTGATTTATGCACCCACTCTGAACTTTAGTTTTCTTGTCCATAATATAGAAACAATATCTGCTGTACTTGTCATATGTGGTTGTTGTAAGATTAAATTAAATTATAAATTATAAAAGTGAATTATGAGATTAAATTAAATTCTAAAAGTTTATAAAACACTTTATATTATATATGTGATATACAAATATTATTATTATGGCATGAACTGCTTTATTATGTATTTATGTGAATGCAATTCATGGTTCACTTTTTCCATAAAGGAATAATTCTGAGGAAACAATGCTTATACAAATGTAATTAAATCAATGTGTTAGAGTCTTCAATCTGCTGGGTGGGATGCTTCTTTTGTAAACCTGGATGTTTCAACCTTATATGGGATATAATTGGTTACTGCTTCTGAAAAACAAAGCTTCATATTATTTTCTCCTCACTTAAACTTATATTTAAGGGGTTTATTACAATATCAGTTATGCCAATTGTAGCCATTAAGAGAAAAATAACAAATCTATAGGACTAGAAACATTTGTGATTTTGTTAAGTTGTGGAAGAAGCCTTAGTTTTGTCTTAATTTACAGTATTTCAGTGAGTTCGGGCTGCTGTAACAAATTACCATAGACCGGGTGACTTGAACACAAATATTTATTTATTTATTTATTTATCTATCTATCTATCTATCTATCTATCTATCTATCTATCTATCTATCTATCGACACAGAGTCTCGCTCTGTCATCCAGGCTGGAGTGCAGTGGCACAATCTTGGTTCACTGCAAGCTCCGCCTCCCAGGTTCACACCATTCTCCTGACTCAACCTCCCAAGTAGCTGGAACTACAGGCACCCACCACCATGCCCGGCTCATTTTTTTGTATTTTTAGTAGAGACGGGGTTTCACCGTGTTAGCCAGGATGGTCTCAATCTCCTGACCTCGTGATCAGCCCGGCTCAGCCTCCCAAAGTGCTGGGATTACAGGCAAACAAACATTTATTTATCACAGTTCTGGAGGTTGAGAAGTCCATGATCAGAGTGCCATCATGACTGGGCTCTGGTGAGGGCCCACATTCAGGTTGCAGATGGCTGACTTTGACTTGTATCTTCACATGGCAGAAAGAAAGCAAGCTAGTTCTCGGTCCTCTTCTGTAAGTGCACTAATCGCATTCATGAGGGCGCCACCCTCACCACCTAATCCCTTCCCAAAGACCCCACCTCAATGTAATAATTATTTTATTAATAATAATTGTTGTAATTAATAGTTACATTGTAATAATTATTACATTCATGAGGGTGGAGCCCTCATGAATGGAATGAGTGCACTTAAGGATTATCACGTAAGAATCTGGAGGAACGTAAACATTAAGTTCATAAGTGGCTACCAGAAAAGGAGTGCTTGCTAATGTTACCATTTGCTGAGTTAATGATAAGTGCCAGGGCCCAATCTTAGTGTTTCAGATACTTCACCTCATTTAGGCCCACAAAATTTCTTTGTGAATTAGTATATTAGTCTGTTCTCACACTGCTGTAAAGAAATGCCCGAGACTGGGTAATTTATAAAGGGAAGAGGTTTAGTTGACTCACAGTTTCACATGGCTGGGGAGGCCTTGCGAAACTTACAATCATGGCAGAATGCAAAGGAGAAGCAAGTACCTTCTTTACAAGGTAGCAGGAGAGAGAGTGAGTGTGTGCAGGAGGGACTGTCACATACTTATCAAACCATCAGATCTCGTGAGAACACACTCACTATCACGAGAAAAGCATGGGGGAAACCGGCCTTATGATCCAATCACCTCCCACCAGGTCCCACCCTCCACACATGGGGATTATGAGGATTGCAATTTGAGATGAGATTTGGGTGGGGACACGGAGCCAAACTGTATCAATTAGGCTCTATTACTACATTACTTTTTTTTTTTTTTCCTGAAAACAACCCAAAAACTGAGGCACAGAGGGGCTGTTCTTTTTCCCTTAAATCTAAACAGTGTGACTCAGATCCTTTGCTTTTAACCACTGAACTCTAAGTCTTCAAGAAGTCACTGTTGCAAGGGTTTACCAACGTGTTGATTTTGCAGGATATGGTGACAGGAGCTTGGAAGAGGGTAGGGATGAAAGCCTAGACTTTCTTTCAGAAATGGTTACCTTGACTGAATGCATGGAGTCACGTATATATGGCTGTGTGGAGAATAGGGCTGCATATAATAGCTAAATAAATTGTTCTCATAAGACATTCTGTGGATTATTGGTGCTCTATTACCCTGCTCCAGGTGATAGAGTGTGACATTCTTGGAGTTTTGAGAGCATCAGAAGGCATCATCATAGGCTAGGACATGGGCATTCTCAGCAGTAGTAGTGACAGTGGTGTGGTCCTTTGGAAGCATAGACAGGGGATATATGTCAGGGCTCCAGGCAGGAGAGGAAGAACATGATGGATGCCTTGAGGCAGTTTTCCCTTGATTATGTGTACAGGGAGCATTCTCTTTGGAGTTCCCAGAGGAGACCTGTGAGGACACTGTGCATGAGAAAGGGAGACACATAGTAAACAAGTGATTCCAGAGGATATTACCTCATATAGTACCTGAAGGCTGGAGTGCCTGTATAACAACAGCAAAAAAATAAAGATAGGTAACTTTCCATATACTCTTCTAAAGGCTTTCCTTATGTACAATTGTCTTAATTTCAAAGCAGTTCAGTGAGCTAGAGAACCACATAGTATTAAAACCTCAGTTTTACTGATAAGAATCTTAGAAATAAACAACTCACTCAGGTTCACACAAGTTAATCAGTGCAAGGAGAGACTGAAATCAAGTCTTTCTGATTCCAGTGCCCATACCATATACTACACTTTGCTTTTTCCAAACAAACAAACAAACAAACAAACACTAGTTGTGGAGGGTGTTCTATATATGCCTTTTGCTTTGAACTACCATGAGTGTTGGAAGTAGATGAATGTCATCCAGGCAAGAATGCCAAGAGCATGAACACAGGGTTGGATTAATTAATAAACAAGACACAGCTGGGGCTTCTTGCTTGCTATTGCTCATAGTTTCTTGGACTAATCCTGTGACCTGTAGAAACTGTTAGTTGTTTAGGAACCATAAGTGAAATTAATTACCACTAAATGCAGATTAAGTCAGAAAACAGCTTTGAGTAAAGGGATTTTAATTGTTTGCTTTGCACTACAAAGACCTGCATTGATCAGCAATTCCAAATTATCATCGCAAATATCATAGAAGTGGGTCTCTAATCCTGTTACAGGACACCTTAATTCAAGATCAAATTTTGGTTAGAATGCAGTAACAGTTTCTACCTCATTATATAAAGTAGATGAATGTTGAAATACTGAGAGCTGAATATCTACAAGAAGAGAGAATAATACTAGAGCAAAAGGGATTCAGTGATTTTATTAGAATACTAAGTTATAACATAATAAAGCACACCACGCCACACATCATTTATTCCCAGGATATATGGGGCCTGACTGATTTACCAGCCTCAGAAATTGTCTTCTTTCGACATCAAAGTCTCATTGACTCCCAGCTACAGACCTGGCCCAACAACCTGGCACTCAGCATGAGGTCACCTATGTGACCAGTTTATCTTTGACTTTAAGATCAAGTTATCATTTAAACTTTTTTCTCATTCTTGTCACTTGGTCCTGCTCTGTCTTTCAGCTCTGGTCCCTTAATGCTGACATCTTCCTCTGTGGCAGAATCCTGGCTTGACAATCTGATAAGGATTGCCATCCCTTTTCTTAAATAACTTAAATCTGTTTCAAAACTCCAACCCAGTTACTGGGAATTCACTCAGGGTTCTTTGTTGCTGACTAACTTTCCATACAGACACATGACCACCTTTAGCTCCTGGACCTTGGCAGCCACCAGCAAGAAGGGGCTGCTTGTCATTGCAGTGGTTCCTAAACTTCAACTTTTACCAAAATCACTTGATAAACTTTTACAATTCAGTACTCCAGACTCCACCTCAAGAGATTCTAATTCAGCCAGGTTGGGTTGGAGCCCACAAATCTGCACATTCAGCAGCTCCGAAAGGTGGGACTCTGCAGGTGGGTGGAGGACCACAGCTGTGTGGAGAAACACTGCTCCACTGGCTGTTGCCACATGAACACTCTGCTAATATCGAACTTCCTGTTCTAGCAGATGGGTCACTCTTCTTCAAGGTCGAATTGCTATATAGTACTCTAGTGGTCTTCCAGGTCTCATTTTATATATGTCCCCCTTCAGAATGCCTTCTGTGGCCTTCCAAGATGGTTAGATGCCTCCTCTATGTGTGACTGTAGCTTCCTGTCCTCATCTCTGCTTAGCACATATTTCACTGTATTTCTCTATTCATTTTTAAAAGTATCTACCAGGCTATGGATATGACCTCTAAGGGGAGGGTTACATATTGTTCACCTCTGAATTGTTACTGCCGCATAGTACTAGGCACAGAGGAGGAGGTCAATAAGTACTTATTGAATAGCAAGATCTAAATGGTTTCAGGTGATGGCTGGGTCCTAGTCAACCTTGTTTGACTGAGTTCACTGGACTACTTCAAAGTCCCAGTTTAGACTGCTTTAAGGATACTGGTGTAGATGTGTTTCTGGGATGTGAAAATGCTGAGTTAGTTAAGGACACAGTCTAGCCCAACCTGCCTGTTGATTGCTGGACTATGACAGGACTTTCAGCACTGGTTCTCACGTAAGGATCTGCCTCATGTAACAATAAGAAACCCAGTTCATGTGATTTCTTACAATTCAGAATATTCTAATTGTCAGTGTGAGATAATACATTCTGGATATAAGGCATTTCACATTTGAGAAAATAGGAAGCCCTCATTTTGATTCTGAGGTGTACCCACTGTTTTTAGATGATTGCTGATAAACTTCAGAAAGCAGCAGTTTCCTCATTTTACAAAGAGCTCTTCTAATTGTAGTATGACTCTGATTCCACGTCCCTGAAAACCTTAAGTTTTAGAATCATTGCATACTAATCCTGGAATGGACTTTTGAGATTATCAT